CCTCCTCCCTATCTGCATCTAAATCTTTAACCTCTTACTTCCTCCCCTCTTACGCTAACTGCCCCTCGGCCGCCTTTATCCCGCCCTCGTTATTCGTCTCCATCTCGTGGTCCACCTAGTCCTCCTGCAACTAGGGTGCATACATGAAAGCCACCCCTTTGTAAAAAAAACGTCTGCTCTGAACGTTTGCTCACCAGGTAATTAATTCTAATAAAGCTTTCACATTTATTCTGTTCTGTAAGTGAAATCTAGCTGGCCGATGATGGCCAATAAACCATGAACGACCAAACCAATCCGCCTTGTCCTTGTTCATAACAAGTCTCACTTTCTGACTGTTCTTTTAATATTCTGTAACTCGAAGGCGCCTTATCAAGCAATGTTGTCTCTGGAAGATCATCAAGGCGTCGGTCTCTGAAGCAGTCTTGAAAATTTTTCGAGATTTACCGCCTGCGATTGCGTGATCAATCCGTGTGGCGGTCACGTTTTTGTAGAATTTAATTATAGTCGGTTGTAGTAAGGGGTATGATAATGCTCTGCAGGATAAGGCACCACCATGCATCCTTCAGTAATTGAATTTGTGATGCTTTGACGCAGTATCTCAAACGCAACTTGACCAGTGGCCTCTATGCTGGCAATCGTTAGAGATCCGCAAATTATATCAATGAATTATGTCATTGTCACCCAAAGGCACGATATCGTTCTTGGCAGGAATCACGTTGTCACGCGGACTTGACTCCATGAGCAGCCATGTCGCGGCTTCTATTGACACCAGGGTGGAGCATGTCATGTGTGCCAAAGCCTGAACGGCTGTGCACGTACATTTTCGCTCACTTCAAAACGCCCAAATCAAGATCGAATGGCAGGAGCCTAATGCTAGCAGATCTGGAGTAGGCTCCCATCGGCTAGGCGCCACTCACACATCATTGTTTGCGAATAGTTTAGAGCTTTGCGGCGTAAGCATTTGAGTGACAAGGTATGTGAAACAATCCAGAAAAATCATTTTCAACTGTTCTTGCACGCATCAGAGAATTTCGGCTGAGGGAAATGCCAGCTAATCCGGAGGCTATGTATACAGCCCAAATTAATTCATGAGACAATACGGATCGCGGTGCTCTGCGGGAAATAAGCGACAATACGCTGTCTTCATCCTCTCATGCTCTCTCTTTACTTCACTTGACCCTGTTATTTCTCTCAATTCCTCCCTCTGCTGCTTCTAATTCTCTTCGTCTTCCCGTTCGCTTTTCTTCTACATACATTTCCTCTTCAACGCATGCCTTATCCGCTGCTACTTTGCTCCTGCTCCTCTTCCTCCTCCTCTTCCTCCTCCTCTTCCTCCTCCCCCTCGTTCCTTCCTCCTCCTTCTTCGCCCACTGCCTCTCCTCCACCTCTCACTGTCTTTCTCCTGCATCTAGTTCCCTTTGGGTTTCTACTCTCCCCATCTTCCTCGGGGCTCATCCTCCTCATCTTCCTAATCTTCGTTGTTCTCGCTCGAATCCCCTTTCGCCACTGACACTCCCCTTTTTCTGCCCCCTTTATTGTCCTACCATCTCCGTATTTGCCCTCTCTAAACTTTCCTTTCAACCTCATGCACGCTTCCTCTACAAAAACTGTATCTTGTGTCCACCACAATGCTGCAATTTCGTCTTTATCTCGCTCTCTGCATTATCTTCTTTCAGCTCCCACTTTAGCTCTTTCCCAGTTTCGTTAATTCCTCGTCTTCTTCCTCCAACTATCGTCAACCACCAGTCCTCCTTCTTTCCCTGCCCTTCCACCTCAACTTCATCCTCCTC